GCATGCAGTTCGCCAACCCTGGGGGTGAGGGGTACATCTAGGTATTCTTGGTGAGGGTTTGCCGCCCGGTTCTCCAAATCCTGACCCTATTTCAGAAAAAAAAAATGTCATTTTCCACACACGTTTTCAGACCACAGGTAACGCAGGCCCACTATTTGTGTCACGTACGGGTAACGTAAGGTAAGGTAACTTTATTTAAACACGGTATTTCCTTCAGGTACACATTTACATTGAAGAATAGAAAAACGAACTTCCTAACTAATCTAAAATCTAAGATAAAAACTAAGAGGTTTGGGGGGGGGGGGGCGGTGGTGGTCGTCTTTTAATATGATGGCCTATACGGGGAGGTTCTGCCTGAAAGGAGTATCTTTTTCAGTTCAGGAATATGAAAGGGTAGGGATTTCACTAGTTGAAGTATATAAAAGAGTAGGGGAATATTTCATTTGGGTCTGTGAAAGGGCCCAAATTACTGGGCTAATAGATGAATTTTAGGGCTTTATGAAGTTCAGAAAACATGCTATTTTGGTTATTGATTCCTATTTTAAGGACAGTGCATTGACAGCACTTAAAAACGAAAGGGGTACCATTTGTCAATAGAAGGTATACGAAATTGGTATCTTTTTCGTGAAAAATGGTATATAAAAGCAAGGGTGAGGGGGTTGGACGTTGGGCGGAGCCTCCCCCCATAAACAATTGTTGAGTGCCCCCCCCCCCTCTCTGGGGGTTTCGCGACCCACAAAAAGTGTTCGTTTCCCCAGAATAGAGGTGTCCCTTCTATAGAGGTAACAAATACAAAGATTATGTAAACATTTTTCTGAGACCAAATTTTCTGTCCCTTGAATAGAGGTGTCCCAAAGGAGAGGTTCCACTGTGGGAGGGAATTACAAACTATGGATGTCTTATTACTGGGTTGCCTGTGGCATGCTAGTCATAAATAAACTCATTGGTGCTCTTGGACTTCTCTAACCGCACACACATTTTTATGGAGGTGTAACCATAAAGCCACCAGAAATGGGAACTTTTAAAACAACTCGAGACTTTCTTGACATTCATGATTCCTATTTTACTGAAGCTGACCTGAAGGTGTTAAACTGTAAATGTGAGGGGCCGGGGACCTGACTTATTGTAGATGAACCGTAGGGCTTGAAGTAATTTAAATGTAAATTATGGTGCATCGAGATCAATCGTTTGAAAAAAAAAAGTTCGTGCGATTACCTCTAGTATGGCTCAGATCCAAGCAGGTGAGCGCCATATTTCATAGTGCGCTTTACTTCATTTTAAGCCCTGTGAAAAGCATTTCGCCACAGTTTAGGCTAACAGTTTGGAAGAGCCAAGAACCGACTAACCGATTCTCGCTAGTGCTTAACCCTTATCACTATTTTCAGTGTTTAACCTGAATCAGTGCCTAAGGGTTGATTTCACTGACGCGTTTTTGGTTACGCACGTTAACGCACGTAAGTTTTAATCACGTAAAGTGTTCAGATTACTGCGCTTTTCACAAACATGCGAATTCTGAAGTTCAAAAGCCAACTAACGATTGCGTTTTTCGCTGCCGTCAATCATCTTAACGGACCTCTTAGGAAACAAAACTTTACTTTAACGGGTTCAAAAGGTCAAGGTTTGTGATTTGTGATTGGTGGATTTCGATCCGTTTTGTGTGTTTCTGTGTTTCAAGGTTCGTTGCTTGTGATCGTAATTTTGATTGACGGCAGCGAAAAACGCAATTGTGAAGGCGGCTTTTGAACCTTAGAGTTCGCATGTTTGTGAAAAGCGCAGTAAACGTGAAGTTAAGCAAGATTCAGCTTTTACGGTTACGAGTGACCGTTCATGCATTGCCTCTATTTCATTTGGGAAGGTAGATTTTACGCACGTACGCACGTAAAAATAACGCGACGGTGGAAATCACGCCTTACCCTGATCACCACAATCAGTGCTTGAAACTGAAGTAATAAGGAATAGTACCATTTATAAACTTCATAAGGTGTGCAAGGGGGTTTAGGCCGATGGGACCTAATGCTTATAAACGTCCGTCTGCAAGTCAAGTCGAGTCAATTTTTATTTTAACTCACACAGAATATTAATTAATACAAATCAGTGCTTTTAAATATAAAAATAAACGATCGTGAAGGAAAAGAAAATTTTTAATTTTAGCTTTATTGTGCAGAGTTTGGGACACGTAAATAATTCATAGAACTAAGCGAGTAAGTGACCCGAAACAAGAATACGAGTGTAAGGAATATGGTGACAAAATACATTGTAGTTCTTTTAGATAAAAAGTATTACTTCATTAATCTATTAATTATAAATGGTAGTACTAGTTAAAGATAACATAGTCATAAAACTTCTGCAAACGGCCCATTGTCACGGTATACTTTTAGGGGCCGATTTGTTAAAAGCAGTGTAAAAAATGTACATATCCTGCCGAGGAACGCTTGATCTTTTTAACTGCACTAAAAAACACAGACGCTTTCTTGATGACGTCACTAATATGTTCGTTCCACGTAAGGTTGTTCGATAAGGTCAGACCAATTGTCAGACCATGGTTAGTAGAGGAGACTGGTTAGGAAACCCTGCAAACATCAAAGTTGAAAACAATGGTGCTGTAGGTTATGTTGGAAACTCCCTGACCGTGAACAATCCTTTCTGTTCACAAATTATGACTGAATAAATTAATACAATGTTCCACTGGTCAATAACTTCGAAGTGATAGGAATGCTATTGGACGTTGTGTACGTTCAGGTCCAAAAAAGCTAACAAAAACCTATAACAAAGGGTTTTCCAACCATTCCACTTTAGTTAACAATGGTCAGACCTAGTAGTTTAGCACTAGTCACTCTCTCTGGTTCATTACCAATAGGCGCAAACTGGGGCTCATCCTTTACAAAAGATATCCTGTGCTCCTTACACTTGTCGCTATTGAGTACCGTATTTATTCGAATAAGCACCCAACCTCGAATTAGCGCCCACCTCGAATAAGCGCCCATCCTAAAGGCAGAAAAAGTTAATAAGCGCCCAGCCTCGAATAAGCACCCATCCCCTCCTCCTCCCAATCAAACTCAAATAAGCGCACACCCTCACCCCAGCCACTTGAGTGAATAAATTCTAATAAGAGACTTCCCCGAGGACGAAGTTTCTTCAGAGTATTTTACAGAAACCTTTCTTTGTTACTTCTTTGCGTTTTGTCATTAGTATTTATTGTTTTGTTGCAAAATAAACATACTTCACTTGCTGAAAATGGTGAAAATTTAATAAGCACCCAGCCTCGAATAAGCACCCTTCTCGAATAAGTGCCCACTCTCAAGGTCCAAAAATTTGATAAGCGCCCAGGGGCCCGTTTCTCGAAAGTCCCGGTAACTTTACGGGCCCGAAATCAAATATTCAAATCGAAATATAAAGAATAAGAGCGCGGGTCCTGGCTAGCAAACTACTCCATTTTGTTTCATTAACTGACAGTTTTATCGTGTTCGATGCAAAACTGTTAAAACCTCAATCTTTAATGTAAACAGAGACAGCTTACCGGGTCCGTTAATTATCGGGACTTTCGAGAAACGGGCCCCAGGGCGGTTAATCAAATAAATACGGTATGACTCTATTCCTCTATTCTGCGTAGACCACTCCGCAACCTTATCCACGATCTCCTGGGCACAACTTCGGTTGCTGTTGGCAACGACTTCTGAAACGGTCATATCGTTAAGGTACTTCCATACATTAGCGACACATGCAAATTAACAACATCTAAATCATTTATGAGTACAAGAAATGGCCATGGGCCTAATTTTGTTCCCTGAGGGACCCCGGAGGGCGCTCAACCCCACTCGGAGTAACAGCCCTCAGATAGTTTGACTCTTTGGGAACGATTAGAAAGGAAATCTCGGATCCAATTGATAACTCTTATGGGCAGATTCAACCTGCACAATTTCTCTACTAGCATCAGTGTCCATATTAACGGGGTTTGGCTTGTAATTCTCAAACTCATTAATAATTCATAAAGACAATACAAAATTAGCCTGTGAAAACAGCTGACATTCGCTACCACCGTTTTTCCTGCCAAATGACATCGGAGAAACGAGCGTAGAAATTCCATACTGATGACACATCACTACCCAGATCCAGGTGGTGCTTCTGATTGTTTAAATCAAATTTCCCATGCAGCATGACCAATTAGAAGCACTACCTAGATCTGGGTAGTGACGTGTCGTCTTTTTCTCAGGCTAATACAAAATAAATTAATGTTCAATAAGTGTTTAGAAATCAGATGAACAAGTGGTCATTTTTCCATCCTTAATTTCTCCTTCTAAAATAATTTTGTTTGAGAAGTAATATCAAGCATTCGACACAGTGTTTCATCACCAGATGAATCACCTCAAAGTTCGTCGTGTTGTATTTTCAACTCTCTTCTCAGTGTTTTATCTGGTGATGAAACACTGTGTTGCGTTCTTGATATATCACTTCAAAAATTTAAGCCTGAGTTCTTAATACCTCTGACCAACCTTTTTTCGTTGGATTATCAATAACCTAAGAAAACAACAGGGAGTGGGTGGGGGGGGGGGGGGTCATGTGTTCTCATCAACTATTACGCTTAGATTTACACCTCAGACCCCAACATTTTAGCCTGAATTGGTGCATTAAGGAAGCATTCTATTTCCTCTCATTTCATTCAGACCCCAACATTTTAGCCTGAATTGGTGCATTAAGGAAGCATTCTATTTCCTCTCATTTCATTGGTCACCTGAACAAAACAAAGGGGACAAACTTGCTCTGCTCCTCCTTTGACAAGAAACAAAGTTATATAGTATCCATTCTAATGAAAGCTAAAGGCGGTTTAGATGCTGATTAATCTTTCCTGAAACAATTTACTAAACTAGTAACAAAACAAAGTCATGCTTACAGTTAAAATCTTGACAAAATCTTAGAGAACCAAAAGGAGACTTGACACAACCTAAATACTATAACACTCATCAAATTTGAGAGCCACCTTCACCTACATGCCTCATATGATTTTCATAATGTTGAAGAAGAAGATATTCGCTACTCAACTCCTCTTGACAAATCCAACAGCTGTGTTCCTTGATGATATCTGGTTGCTGGTCTTCCATACCACTGTTGGCAGTCTCTCTCAGTGACAGTGTGTTGTTAGTCAATCCTGACCTTATACCACTTCCTGCTCTCTTAACCTTACAATGCAAATGTTTCGACTGACCCTTGCTGCTGTCACTTTTAAGCAAACTTTTTCTGCTGTGGCCTTCTTTGTGCCTCCTAAGAGACCTTGATTGACAATAACACTTGCCACACTGGTTACATTCAAAAGGCTTTTCCCCTGTGTGGACTCTTTCATGAATCCTTAGCCTTCCTGGTTTCCAAAAACACTTGCCACACTGTTTACATTCATAAGGCTTTTCACCAGTGTGAATCCTTTCATGACTCCTTAGGTTTCCTGCTTGGCTAAAATGCTTCCCACAATGTTTACATTCATAAGGCCTTTCTCCATTGTGAATTCTCTCATGCAACCTTAGGTATAATGCTCGGCTAAAACACTTGCTACACTGTTTACATTCATATGGCTTTTCCCCAGTGTGAATTCTTTCATGAAGCCTTAGCCCTCCTGTTTCACTAAAACACTTGCCACACTGTTCACATTCATAAGGCCTTTCCCCAGAGTGAATTCTTTCATGAATCCTTAAGCTTGCTGTTTGGTTAAAACACTTCCCACAATGTTTACATTCATAAGGCTTTTCCCCAGTGTGAACTCTTTCATGGCTCCTTAGGTGTTCTTTTCGGCTAAAGCTCTTGCCACACTGTTTACATTCATGAGGTTTTTCCCCAGTGTGAATTCTTTCATGACTTCTTAGGCAGTCTGCTCGGCTAAACCACTTGCCACAGTGTTTACATTCATAAGGCTTTTCTCCTGTGTGAACAGTTTGATGACTTTTTAAGCTTCCTGCTGCACTAAAACACTTGCCACACTGTTTACATTTATAAGGTTTTTCCCCAGTGTGGATTCTTTCATGTGCCTTTAGGTTTGCTGCTTCCCTAAAACACTTGCCACACTGTTTACATTCATAAGGCTTTTCCCCAGAATGAACTTTTTCATGTCTTTTAAGGCGTGTTGCTTGACTAAAACACTTTCCACACTGTTTACACTTTAAAGACATCACTAAATACCCTTTCAAGAGAAAATAAAGGCATTATTATTTGTCTTTCTTAAATCAGATTGAGGCACTGCTATGAGGTTTTGCCAACATTCATTTTTGTCTACATTCAGCGACAAAATTGCTGAGACATCAAATAGGGTAACTTAGGGAACAAAAGAATCCGCGCCCCTCTCCTGTCCCCTCCATTCAAAGTTGGGGTGTTTGTTGTTTTCTATAGGTAGCTCGAACATCGGTACAACATTGCATGGAGGGGATGGGGGAGTAAAATTTATATTTCCTCCTTTTGAAGTTAGTAAAAGGTAGAAAAGCCCAGTTTTGGGCGAAGTGTCTCAACTCATTTTGCTGCCGATTGTAGGTGCTTCTTGGCATCTTACTTTTGTTCTTGGGTGACTATGAAAGTCTTAGTTTTTTCACAGAAATTCTATGCCATGGATTTTACAGATACAGAGCCCAGGGCTCCCTTAAAAATTTTTCTTAGAACACATCCTTGACATGACAAGAATTTCCATGTCTGCACTGAGCTATAGCCTGTACGCAACCTCACTCTGGTGGTCTCTGGCCCCCACCCCCGCAGTCCCAAGAGAGCTTACTTAGTTTAACTAATGCGATAATATAGCCATCATTGTTGCATTCTTTGTGATGCACCTTTAGACTTACTATTCACTTGGTATAATTATGGTCCACCAGCCACAATTTCAGAAGGATAAATACTGTTTGCCTAGAAGAAGAGGTGTTCATGGTTATTTAGATATTAAGTCTGGTATATGGGTGTTTTCCTTTCTGATACATCATGTACAGCAAATCTTTTAGAAGTTCAATTTTAGTTTACTGTTCCTACAGAAAATATTCTCGAGTTTAGTGAAAAACATTTTGCAAAATCTAAACAGAGTTAAACTTCATGGAGGTCACTTTCAACATCAAATGGTTTGCATCTTTCCTCAGCAATGTTATGTCACAGGCAACCCAGACTTAGTGTGTGTCAATAACATGGACAAAATGGGATGAGGCGTCAAATCTCCCATGAACTAAAATAGTCCAGAAGTCAAAATATAACAAACAAAGCTAACATACCTTTATCTGAACATCTCCTTGTCTTTCCTGGCCGGTTAAAGTGGCATTTTGTCGAGTTTTGCACTGGTACGTAGGTACTATCCACTATAGGCCTGGAAAGACAAGGAGATGTTCAGTTAAAGGTATGTTAGCTTTGTTTTGTTATCACTTTGACTTCTTAGCCTGTGTACAGACGTCCCCCCTTCCTCAGGAAAAATCAGGAGAGGAAATGTCTGTGAATCGCCGACAAAAATCGTGTTCCCGTTTCCCTGGAATGTTGGGGACAGCCACTGATTGGTTGTATTGTTCATGCCATGACGCAAATAATTTCCGGTGTTGTGATTGGTGAATGAACCTCAGAACAGATTCCCCGGGGAAAAGCTCAGCCTTTTTGCACATTCATATTTGTTTACCGGTATTTGTATTTCGGCTCTCTCGAAAAGGCATGAGAAGTTACCACCGATGTTTGCTCCTCGGTATTGTAAATAAAAGAGACGGCAAACAAAATCCAACGTTAACAGCCAAGGCAGGTCAAGCTTACCCCAAAAAGATTCTAGTAATGAATTGATTATTTGAATAAATGAATCCGTTAGTCATTCCCGTAACTGGTGTCAAATTGAAATCGGCATTCCTTTATGCGTAATGAGCAATGAATATTTTAAGAGAACTTCTCTGCATTTGGTCAGATTGAAAATCTTTGAATGGATTAAATGTCTTAGAAGACATTTACATCAAATTCAGGGAAACTGAGCTGGCAGAAATTTTGTAACTGAATCGCGTGTGAATTCACGGCTCATTACGCATGCAAGAATGCACACAGAGATGAATCTGAAATCCACAACTACCAACGGTTCAACTTTCGAATAATAAGTACATTAATGGGATCTTGGGAGGTACGCTTGACCTGGCTGTAATCAGAGATCTTATATCTGGATTTTTGGGTGGACATTGCATGAAGATGTTCAGCTAGCCTGTGCACAGATGCCAGAGCTATTTTTCGACCTACATGTACCTTTTCAACTGTCGGCGAAAAAACAAAAAAATAATTTATGCAAATGTATACTGGAACACGATTAACCACGGCCATTCACAGACGTCTCCTCTCCCGATTTTTCCTGAGGGAGGGGTGACGTCTGTACACAGGCTATATGACTTCTGGACTATTTTAGTTCATGGGAGATTTGACAACTCCTCCCATTTTGTCCACGTTATTGACACACACTACATCTGGGCTGCCTGTGGGGAGACTGGATCCTGTATAAGCCTTAGGCTTTCAGTTCAGGCCTCCCAGTTACCATCTTTTTTATTTATTATTTTTATCTACAACCTGTTAAGTGACAAAACAATAACTCAAATCAAATCAATAATCTGCTGAGTTAACAAACATTTGCTATTACTCTGCTATTACTTGAGAATCTTGTTTCCTTTTTTACCTTATAGTATTATTTTTGGAGTTTCATATGACTTCAAGTAACAGCTGGCATTTGAATGGGAAATGTTACCAGTAACATCGAAAGACATTGAACTTAAAAAGGTTACAGAAATGAGACTAATAGTGTGAAAAAGCAGAATCCATTCAACATTTTACAGTAAATTAGTTATGAGATGACTCAACGATATGTCGATTCGTTTTTGTTTCTTGAAACCAATTTTTGTTTTTTTAGGAGCATAATTTTACCATTTGATTTCTTGCTTGTTTATCTACAGTGAATAAGGCTTATTATAATATTTTTAAGTGTGCAAATTTGTCCTTCAATGGTGTTTCTTAGTATTGGAGCTTTATGTTTGGCATGTTGGAGGAGGTTTCTAAACAACAGCTGTACCTTGTGATTTCTTTCCTTTATAGATTTACAAGCAAAGGGTGACCCCAAGTTACTTTTTCCTGAACAAAAGATTACTTATGATTGTTAGACACAATGGTTTCTGAGATTTGGTGAGGTGTGCATATTATTTCCTTTCATATAATAAACCTTTTAACTCCTTTGCTGCCAACCCCATGAAGAAGTCCTGTGCAAACACCTCCAAATCATGAGAGTCGATACTTTCGTCATCCTCATTTGCTTCTCAAATCACTAAAATTGCTGTCACTATCAGAAAAATTTTCCTCTCCGGAATCGATCCATACTTCATCTAACACATCTTGAGCAGTTTCCTATCTCTCTACATTCAAAATCGAAAAGGAATTTTACTTTGCTCTTCCAACAATGTGCTTCTTGAAAGCAATATGGCAGACGGCGCACAAAAGTGTTTATGTCTGATCTATAAATTGGTTTTCCTAAATGTGGGACTACGCACTAGTAGTCACCAGTCTACTGACTTCTTTGGGGCATGAGCGGCCAGGTTACATTACATCTCCAGTGCCAGGGATTTGACTGTTACTTTCTAATATTTGACGTACTGAGTATGTCATGCAGGCATGCAGACAAATTGCAATTAATAGGGTGACATACAGGCAGTTAAGGGGTCAAGAAGGAGAATAAGAATAACAGCTTTTGTGGCATTAGAATCAAAGCAGCTGTGAATTTTTGACTGCATGCCTGACTGACATTTTATGCCACTGAAACCAAATTACATTTTTTCTTTGTCCCATGCTTGTGACATGCTGATCATATCATTTTCACAAATTAATATTGCTGACATTGAAGTGTTCTCCCTAAATTTTAGCTCAGCAGGTAAGGGACCATTCATGGATGGTAAGGCAAAAAATATATACTTTTCTAAGAGGGGGGGGGGGGGCAGTGGAGTGAGGGACATGGACCCACCCTCACTGGGAAATTTTTTATTCCCATATTTTAAGACCTATTTTATGCAAATCTGCTGTCGTTATCTTTAGACAAGAAATTCAAACGTTTGATTCCAATAATTTACCATGTCTTTAATGTTCTCTTTCCAAAATTCATGTCCCTAAAAAGGAAAGCTGTATACATAGTACAGAACCAAAATTATGCCAGGCAAAAAGTGGCGTAAGAAGTTGCTGCGCCGCAAGAACATGCAAGCAACTGCAAGAAGTGAAAGTGCTGTGTTTTTGCGGACCCTTTGTGGTTTACCCGCAAGAACTTTGAAATGAAAGAAGTCAAAAATCTTCACCTCAAGAAGCTAGAAAATTACCGCAAGCCTCAAGAAGGCGCATGAAGTTCTTTGTAAGTGTTAACCTGAAAGAAGTTATTGTTTTTTCGCCTTTTTGTTACAACACCGTTTTGTAGCGTTGATACTAATTCACTCTGTGGCAGCAAAAGGTAATCATGCAAGGACACGTAAAAAGTTGCCTGAGAAAGCGAACAGCTTTCTCTGCTTTTTCTGAAAAGTGAACACTTCAATCGTTCAGCTTTTCCAAAGTTAGATAAAGCACGTGAGGCGTTTGTTTAACAACACGATCTGTGGTTTCGAACATTTCGATCATTTGGATCATTTCATAGTACAATAACATAGTGATCGGCGAAACAAAACAAAGGCGTTGAATTTCTGCCACGAGAAAACATTGGAATTATTTATTACTTTATTGCACTAATTTTCGAAAGAGCCTTTAGTGAAAATATTCCTTACTTTACTTTAACATGTTTTTAATCAAAATTGTACACATTTCCTCACTTAAAAGGTTACCTTTGCACAAGATAATTTTAGATATACCATTTCAAAATTCACTGATCATGAAACATGAAAGTATTTTTAGTTTATCTTTTTTGTTTACACTTGTTATCAACACATCCCTGTCATTGTAAACCAGCAAGAACAAAACAGTTTTTGGGATTTGAATGTTCAAAACTATGTGCCTAAAGTATAGATTAGTGATCCGCTGACAAATACAGAAAGCGGCACAACTATTTTGTTGTCATAATAAATTTTCACTTGTCTTCGGCAATCTTACCGCACTGAAAGAAGTTGTTGCGCTGCGGTTCGAAAATCCCACAGCAAAGAAATTCTTGTGGTTAAATTTATAACTGCAAAAGAAG